GAATCACCGATTGATCGGTCACCGCTGGACGCCAATCGTTAAAAGCGAGGTCGCTGAATCCGCATGTCCTTCGTTTCGTGCAACGTACGATACGGTTCTTGATTTATGTCTGGCTCTCGTCAAATCGCTACGCGATTATTTCGGCTCGAAGGGGAATTCACAATTCCCGTTGTGTATTTTATTTATTCGTCGCGAAGCTGATTTTCTTCTTCTTCGCGAGAGGCTAAAAGTATAAAGTATGAAACTACAAAGTTAAAGATTGAAAGAGACGCCAGTTGCGAGAAAACCTGTCTATTGCATCTCGTGTATGCCCGAGCAGTATATTAGCTCGCACTTCTGCAAGCGTATATTTTCCGACGCGTGAAAAAAATGTAAAAAGGTGCTTTCGCGTATCTCGATGGCTCCCCGAGGATTCTCTTGTGCAACTGCGAGAGTGGTTTCGCGAACGATCCTTCTTCGCGCTGCATTATTTACGCGAAGTAAACCCATGTGCGTCTTCGGTATCGCGCTTTTCCTTCGCGAGCGCACAAGATACAGAAATATCGAGTAAGAAATGCCGTTAAAAGCGATTATTTAAATGCTCCTTCCGATATTGCTGTGTTGTTTCTATCAAAGGATACAGTATGCGAGTGAATTGTTGCTATAGCAACCGAGGATTCAGGTCGCACGATGTAGAGAAGAATGCGAGGAGAAAGAAGATGAAGAAGCGAAGGAGGAGAAGCCAACGTTTAGGCAGGTCCGGCCGACCTTGACTACTTGAATCCTAATTTTATCCCAAACCGAATCCGGTTTTCATGGCGGTGGCACATGGGAGATGGTATCGGGGTTGCAGCTGGCCCGTCTGAATGCTTGTTACCGTTCGTTTTTTCATTAATTACCGATACAATTAGCTTCTCAAATTCCTCCGAATCATAAAGATTAATATAAATTCGATCATCATTTTTTTCTTTAAAGAATCTCATAATGATTAATATATCATAATGAGAAATATAAATTCTGCAAGAGAGAAAGAGAGAAGATTTTTTTTGTTAAATCGATATAATAATTAACTGAGGTTCGCGGAAATGTAAATGTCATTAATCAATAACGAAAAGACAGAATATTATTTAATACAGATTTAAAACAAAAATTTTTTAACTTAATGAATTGTTTGAATTATCTCTATCTCCAATTAAAGAATATAATAGACACGCGGGGGTGTTAGAAACACCTTTGCGATGAAATATATCGGAATGGATAGATTTTCTGATGATTACGAAATAATAAAGACGCGTGGCAACTCTAATAATAGCGGTCCTGGCGCATCCTGCCGATGACGGCGAGTCTGTCTGCTTCTTTTGTCGCCTTCTCTTCCTCCTTCGCCTCCTCTCGTGCCTCCCTGACCCACAAATCGAGCAAGCGACAGAGTCCAAGCTCCCTTTTTTTCCGCGACAGACGCACACGCGATCCCATTATCCAGGAATAGCTGCGGGTTTTCTAATTTTGTAAATCGACCGTGGCGAGAGGAGGCGACACGAGGATCCCCATCGTGGCGATCTCGCTCTTAGAGACAGGCTCACGGTAAATGGTCTCGCAATGTACATCGTGCCGCAAACATTATACGACATTATGGCGCGGATCGTCGTGTAACATTATGATTATCTCGCAAGGAGCCCAAGGCCCGTCTCTTATCCTCTTCGCTTGCAGATGTAATTGTTCTTTCATTTGACGTGTACATCGCATCGCGATTCCCCGCTGTGTCTTGCTTTTTTTCCACTCGGATCTCTTCCACCTTATACGACTTCGTCGAGGGAGAGATCGATGAGAAAAAAAAACTATCGCTGATATCTCGAAAGTTATTCTTATTCCATCTCCTACTTTTGTGACTGAAGAAATTTTACATTAAAATTTACTTTGCATTAAAAATTAGAACTGTTACATTATTATTATATGAATGTATTCGGAGATCAATAGATGAGAATCAGGATAAAGACCACAAAAGTTTGAAAAAGATACGAAGAAGACATATAATTCAGTCATCTATTATTCACGTGGACGATAAATTTCATCTTTAAGTCTGAGGTCTGTTTTATTTGTTAAAGGAATAAATTTTCATACAAATGTATCGACTCGCGTCATCGATACAAATAGATCGCATCTTCGCGGGTGATAATCTCGATCTTTCCTACTTTGTGAAGAAAGAAGAGAAGAAGAATACGAGCACATGGCGGAGAGAAGAGGAATCTCTGAACTCCCTCGGCTGAGTTCGCGGAGCTTCTGCCGACGGCTACAGCTATTTTCAGCTGGCTCTTCTATCCTCTCCTCTTCCTCTCCCCTTTCTCCCCGCTGGGCGATTCCTTTCGTCGTGTTCCTTTTGCAACAGCAACGACGTCGTTGCAGCAGTCAAGCGGCAGCAACAGCAACGGCATTAGCCCCGGTATATACTGTGGCCAAAGACGACGGACGGGGCCGGAACGGGTTGCCGTTCAGGTTTTGCTGCAGGGGATCGTTAAGATAATCGCCGCTATCCTCATCCTAACTTAGTCTTAACCGTACGATATATCCATGTCTCGCTCATCAGCCCTGTCTCTTCCCTCCGCCCTTTCCTCTTCAATGTCCACCCTCTTTCGCCTCCCTTCTATACTTTCTTCTCCTTCTCTTTTCTTTTGCATTATCTATTCCGATGCATTCTTCTCATTCACGCTATGCTTCGTCCACGCAGACTACGTGTGCGTATAAGTTGTACATGCGGTTCGCGATCCGCGATTTTGATTTAGGGGGTGCGATAAAATTAGATGTATACTCGATTTTGCAACACGCGGAATTTATTCAGCAATTAACAGAGCGGCTTGGAAAATGATTACGATAATTGTGCCGCGTGCACAAGGCGACGTGCGATTTTATATCGGAAGGACGCGAACTCTCCGAGACTTTCATCGATGATAAAAGTAACCCCGACCATTAATCGTTGATGATTGTCTTTCAGATAGGTGCTTGCACGCAGTGACGACCGCCGTCAAGCGTACAATGTGTACAAAATAATGATTCCGAGTAGTATCGCCGACATTTTTTTCACTTATCTCTTCGTCATCTCTATGATTTTATCTCTATGACATTGATTATTGTCATTAAAAAAATCTGCATCAAGGATAGTTTCGACAATTTGAATAATTACACATCTTAGAAATCACGATTTTGATCCATCTTCAAGAAGATTGTTTCTTTAATTTTCTCCTAAATATTAGTCTAATTTATTATAACAGTAAAAGTAATAATTTAATTATGACATAATTATTAATTTTACTATAAATTTATAAAATTAGAATTAAAATTTCAAATTATTTACATTTCTTCGAATCATATAAGAAAAGATAACACATTTCAGACTACGACTATACTGAATGCCCTTAGCTTGACGGATCTATCTTCTTTACGATCCAAGAGTGCATCCAAGATATGCATATTTCAAAGCTAAAATATATATATGAGATGCGATTTTTGTCAATGACATCTCATTTCGCTCGTTTAATCTTAATCACCCGCTGACCCTAAAGGTTCTTCTTTCCTCGGGAAGTCGCGGGGAGCCGCAAGGACGCGGAGGTGCGATCGGTCGTCGTCGCCTGCCGCCGCCGGCCGGTCGTGCATGCTGGTGTATAATGCGTTACACAGGTATTACAGGTATTATCCGTATTACACGTATTACGAGTATTATACGGACGTACGTGCGACCTCGAAAGAACAGGCTTGGCATGACGGCTCCTTCTTTCTCCGATTCCCCCCTCGCGCATCTTCTCTCTCTTTGCGTCCGCATCTCCCCTCGGCTACACCGTCATCCTTCCCTGCGAGCACAACCTCACTTCATCCTCCTCCCCAACCGTTCTCCTCCATCGCGCGATTCCATCCTCTACTCTCCCTCTCATCTGTTCTCTCTCTCTCCTACCTTTTCTGTTATCTTTTTACCCCAAGAGCTGAGAGCGAGCGGGCGGTTTAACGTCCGCGACTTTTTCTCGCCTTTCTTCCCCTTTCTCTCTGCCCCGTCTTCTTCTCCTCCTTCTTTTCCTTCGCTCGGATCATCTCTCGTTTCTTCGGAGTTGCACTCCGGAGTACTTTGCGCGCGATGCATCTCTATGCAACCGCGCCAGAATTCAGGAAATTTTATAGCTCTTATCATCTTTATCTCAAATTGTTTCTTTATCGCAAATTGTGGAATCCAAAATGGACGTAACTCTTTTATATTTTATATTTTTTATTTGATTTTTATTTTTTATTCAATCGAATTCTAGATAAATTTATTGTAATGAAAAATGTTTCAATCTTTGAAAGATCTTTGTAAGATGCAATATTGCGATTTTTTCTTTCATTTGATATCTTAGAACTATTGTAGAAAAAGACTTAAAGTTTACTAAGATTTCGTGATTAAACGCGATAAATTTTAAGTTTTCTTTATAATTCTGATGCGCGATTGCAACGTTTTGCAATCAATCATGTATGTTTTATGTGTTTCTTAGAATATAAGATTCTCATAATTCCGATAACATCGAATACTTGAAACTACAACGTAGTAAATTTTGATTTCTGCATACGAGTATATCAATAATGATATGTATCAGACTATTACATCGTACCAATCTCCTTGCGCGCATGTGGTTTTCTTCTATTTCCTCAATAAAGGCTAATAATATAAATAAAACGTATGAATCAAATTTTATATAATCGTTATGTAAAGTCTCTCTTTCTCTCTTTCTCTCTCTTATATTTTTTTAATCAAACAATATTTTAGTAATTTATTTTTTTTATTAGCATTAGCATTTTACATTAAAATTAGTTGCTGTGAATTTTTTTACACTAAAGCTTGACTTTGATGCGTATATATTTTCTTATCTTAAATTATTTCAATTTATTTTTAATTCTGAAATCAATTAATAAATAATATATTTATTTAATAAAAAATTATCAAGTTTAATAGATATTTTTAATACTGGAAAACCTGATTTTTTTCTTTTGTTAAAAGAATTCGTCATTGACAGTTGATGTAATGGAAGTTAGACGGGCATAAATTTTAACAGAGCATATCTATGTGTAAATATAAAATATCCTTATAATGTAATAACCATTGAGTCTCATCTCACAAATAGGCCATGCGAATCGAATAAGACAGATATCATCGATTCTCACTCATGGAGAAAACGACCTCGGTATAATGTTCGACCTTTACGAACCGGTCCCCCGCGAGTATAGTACATTTGCATGCTGACACAGGTGTATACGTTATACACGATGGGCGGGATCCATGTTATAAGATTTCATACACATTAGATGCACACGCTAATAACAGGTTTTGCTGCGAATGACAGTTATTTGCGTATCCAATTTAGAGTTGCAATAACTTTTTCTAAAGATGAAAAATTTCGCAGGATTTAAATAATTGATTTATAATTAATATGCTAAATATTTTATAAACAAATATAATTAGTTACCGTTATTTGCATTAATCGGGTTGTATATAAATCGTGATCTCATTCATCAATATTACTTGCGACGATTTGCGAGATGATCGAGAGCGAATGGTGTAGATTCGCCTTTAATCTGCGCCAATGGGAGAGGAAGACAGGTTTTGTCGATCGCGAGGGGCGTTTCTCTGTCATGTATCTCGATGCAAACTCGTACCCGGTACGGCGGTCTGCTATCGGCTAGAGAATGATCTTGTTATATATTGCACGACCTTAGGGAAACTGGTTGACATGAATCGATTTGTATGCGTTGCTAGTTGCGGCGCGATGAATTACATTATATACAAAAAATCGGAAAAAAATTTAACAAAACAGATTAGTTGCATCGGCAGTGCTCATTAAATGAGCATAATTCATTAATTTTTTTTCGTCTATTTTATTTGTGAGAACTGTTTTATAAACATGAAGTTTGTCGAAAGGAATCTTAAGAGTCTTTTTAAATTAGGAATTATTATTCTTCCTCCTAAAGTCATAAAAGTGTTTGGATGAAAAGAAGATGACTAAAAAAAATGATCGAAACTGACCTTTATGCGTGCCATGAATGAGATAAAGTGCAAGCGCGCAATCGATGAATCCTCGATATGCTCATTCATACTCCACCAACTTTGTCAACTGGCGCGTTAATGAATTACAATGCGTGTGTCTGATCAAAGGCGTGCGCAGTTCGATTCCTATATACCTCTCCTTCAGATAATCAGGTATTTTACCTGATTCATCTGGTCCAATGAAGCTCCAATCGTTTGCATCGTTGAGGACATTCGATTTGCATTTGACAATCGTCGATGATGTAATCCACGTCATTTCCTTGCGCGATCACGAAATGTAAAGTGACCGCGAACTTGGCTAGCGTGTTTGCATTCAGGGTCACGTCGATTCAATGACGTAGCTAACAAGTGACCGATGTTATACATTGATCCTCTGAAAAAAAAATAAAGAAAATAATAAGAAAAAGAGAACAAGAAGGAAATTGAAGAGGAAAGAAATTTAATTTTATAAAAGATTAATTTTATCAATTAGCAACTGTTAGATACAGTGTTATAAAGTATTTACAATAAATTAATAATAATATGTTGTAGATATCACAGAATTTTGATCTTTACTTAGTTAAAAGTGTATAATTAACTGAGTAAAACTTTAAGTTTTCTCATGTAGCCTGTAATACAATCCAATGATTTTGTATTAATCAGGCACTCAAACAATATTTATATATGTTACAGTAATAATTAAATATAATTGAATTAATTAATGTATTTATAAGATCGTGTTTTATCTCGAAATATAATTAAATTTATTTTAATTAATATTCCTGATAGAGAAAGAGAAGAGATGTATTAAACTTTCACAATTAAAAGTCCTGAAAAAATATATTCGAAAACGAATTGTTTTTGAAATTGTTTGAGAAATATGATTCCTCAAATGGCTTTCACATTTAGAAGCATTGTATTTACGAGCAGAGTAATCTTACACTTTTTTAACACATCATTTGACTTTTTGACATAAGATATAAGAGAATACTGATTATTATTTTTGCCCATCTAAGATACATGTTCCTTATCTGCCTGCCAGTCTATCCTATGTATGTTTCCAGAGAGTCTTTTGAACGATTGGAAAATTTCTGCTGCGTATCGATGGTTCCTAGTAATATTCCACTGCTTGATGATCATAAGCCCTTTAGAAAATGTGCGTGTTACGTTACAATCACCCTCCCAAGTCAGACTTCTTTGACGGAGTCCCTCCACAACGAGTACTTACAAAAGATCCCTTTTATCTTTCGAGAGACAAACAAGAGTATCTATTAGGGTCAGATCAAATAACAGGCCTTGGAGTCCATTTGGATCGAAGGCAACAGCGCGCATGATAGGGTACAGAGATCGTCCGTGGTTAAATCACACTATAGGACTCTGTTTGTTAGAATAATTTGCAACACGCGATTCATGTAACGATTCCTCGTATAACTGCGGATTTAAAAGCTTTTTAGATCCAAAGATACAAAGATAAAATTCTTGTAACCGCAGAGCTTATCTCATCAATCCTATCTATACGTTTATAAATTAAAATTTTATTAATAATTAAATAATTTATATGTAAATGTGGATAAAAGAGAAGACGTTATTGGTTTCTCCTCATAAATTATTTGCTTCTTCCTTTTGCGCGTTTCTATAAAAATAACTGCGGAATACCAATGCTATATTAGGTAAATAATAGCAAATTCCATATTAATTTGCGACCTCGACAATAGCCAACAAGGTTGTTTATATTGCATCAAGTGTAGAGATACGTCTCTTTTGGTTATTTCGGATGAAGGTCCACGCTCTTCTGCGCATAAGTATCGTCGATTAACGCGAATGTATATTTGAATAGAGATGTTTAATTCATATTTATTTCTCTCGAGAACAAAGGGGGAAGTGACTCATATCATGCTCAAGGATTATCACTCTCTATGAGAGCTGATAATGCTTTCTTCCCATCTCGTATGGGCTCAGATATTTTTATAACACAAAGCACGTATAAATAATCTTTAAATTTTAAAATGTCTTTGGAAAGAATTGTGATTTATATTAATTTATTAATTGTTTTCTTGAATCGTTATCTAAATTATGTTTGATTTGTATAAACATAATTTTCGAAAGATTAAAGCTACATAATGTTACCGATATATCAATGTAATATTCAATATTTTTATGCAGATTTTTTAAGTATCGACTTGATTGCGATTTTGTGAAGATCAGTTCATATTTGAGATTCATATAAAAATATTTGAGCTATATATTTGATATGACATTGACGTTACATATAGTGGAGATAGATATGGATCTTAAAACAGTATTATTTTTACAAATAACTTCTTTTTAAACAAAAGCAATAATAATTCTATATTTTAATCAATGGAGTTTGATCGAATATAATAATCTTTAATATTAAAAGTATGGGCGCTTCTCGACATCGATAAGAACATGCTAGAGAAATGTCAGTATTCTTCCTGCTTAGTCTGAGTTTTCGCGATATTTATCGTATCCGATGCAATATTCCGAACGCGATGTCGCTTCGTGACTTTGTCAATAGGCGCGCACTGTTGACGATAAGCGGAATCCCAATCGTGAATAGAATCCATTGCAGCACTTTTTTGAATTTATAAATTCTAGAAATAGTTTCAACGCACGAATAAAAACTTGCATACCAGTTGTCTAAAGTTTTTCCTGGTAACGTAGCAAGGAACGCAGTCTCTCATATTTACATTGATTCATAGCTGTTTATCGTAAATCTTGAACGAGAGAAATAGGCATCATAATAATACTAATAACGCATCAAATCTATTCGAATAGAAAAATGAGATAAAATCAATTATTCTCTTAAAATTAATGTTTTATGACAGTTAATAAAGATTAATTCGCATTTACTTGGAACGGTTAATAAGATGCAATATTAACGAAGAGAGAGATCTCGATGATGAAAAGACCGTCTTGTTGTTTTTACACCTATTCTGAAATCAATCTCATACATAAATACATGCTGGCATATTGTGGAAAGCTTAGTCATTAGATTGCAATATGCATTAGCGTAAATGTGGAAAACGAGTTAAATACGCAGTAATATGATAATTATGAAATAAGCATCCGTTTGGCGCCGATATTAGTTAACGCTGCGAGAAGTATAATAAAAAATCAATCACATTAACAATATAAGCACCAATAAATTTTGCATATTACTGCACTCATATGCAATTATTTTATCTTTGTCCAAGACTTTGTTCAAGATTATGTACGCTATAATTATTAATGGATATATTTTGGCGAAAGTATATTATGCATATCTATTCGTACATCATGTTTTTTTTTCTAATTTTCCTTTTTTTTATATTTTAAATTTTTTGCTCATATTTTAAAATCATTTAGTACTATTCACAGTCTAAGTATGAAAAGGAGGCACTGCCGGTTTAGCTCAACCTTGAACACTGTCAATTAGGAGAGGCGCACTAATTACGTTCGCGCCGCGTAAGAAGTGCTTAGAGTGCGATTGATTAAAATATACGTTGCGAACGAAATTGGCGTTAATTCGAGTCTAAGAAAGTGTCAATATCGGAGATGCATACATATATCGGCTCCGACAGCTTCTTTACACGACCTCTTCTGTCGGAGAACAGCTGCGTAGAAGAAATAGTAAAATTTTTATCTATCTCTTTCTTTCCCGTTACTTTTGTGATAACTGTAAATTCGATCTTTGATCCGTCTCGATCGTAAATTTTATTTTTATCATTTTTTATCACTCAAACCTTTCGAGCTCTACCGAACTGCCTATCTAATTGTTATGAATATTTTAATCGGAAGATCATGGTGTTGAACAATCACATACGTCAAGTATGATACATGATGTAATTTGATATTAATCAGGGCTTCGAAACGATTTGTTAATTTTATTTTTACTTTATCGTTCGATTGAAATCGAAAACTACTTACAATTCTTTGCAATATACAAATTTATGTTGTTATTATAATAATAATTCTATCGTTATTTAATCATAAGTTTAAAGTTAGATGTAATAGAGAAGTCAGAATTGTTTAATGCTGATATAAAATCTAGACAAGACATTTTCATAATTATTTAAATATCTATTTGATAGGATCAAAAAATATTTTATTTGTTTCATAATTTTATTGGTTCAAATATGCATTTGCGTAAAACTTTTTAATTCACGTTTTTAATTAAGGAATAAAATTTAACCTGTGATTAAAATTAATTATTATTAATTCTATTTCTCTGACAATTTGATTTTGACATTTTCACGCGTCAACAAGAGACACGTGGCTTCATATTCAATCGCGAGTGATGCAAGTTGAAAGATCATTGCTCGATCAAGACAAGGACATGAAAGAGTATAGAAAATATAATCGTGTATCATAAGTATTCATTATGACCAATTTTTTTAATTTTTTCCTTTCGTAATGTTTATTTGAAAAGTTCAAGGCTTACGAGTCATCGTTGAAACTGCGTTTTGTTATTAGATCAATTAAGATGCGTAATTAATATCGTGAATTACATTGCACCAGACTATCCAGTAAACTGATGAATGAGTGGATTAACCGGTCGGAGATATCTAACTATAATATTTATAATATCTAAAATCTCCATGTTATTATTATATATATCATAAACAGTACATTTTCATCTAGTCGTTCAACGAGACGTTTAGTAAAACGAAATTTGTTTACTCTAAAGAAAATTATTTCGTACGTATCAATGTATCTCGAATATTTTAGGATATTGGGATAAAAATTCTACTATTAGATTTCGTATAAATAAAATTCACTATAGAACGTATTTATGTATGTATCTTCTCCATAAAAAATTGATTTCGATTTATATTAAACTTTGATCAATATTATCCATCACATGATCAATGATGTAGATGGTATTTCTCTCGATTACTCGCTCCCTCGATCAATCTACCATCTTCGAATTGTCACTTTTCTTTTGAACATTGCGAAGTATCCAATGTTGTTGACTTCGTCGCTGTTTCTACGACATAGGAAGTCTAGGAGCCCGTATTAGCAGTCCGGGTGCGAAGTGCAAAGTACAGTAGACGTCTTTCTCTCTCGACGATCTCAATGTCAGTAGTCAGCTCGAGCTTAGCGCTGCGCACAATCGGAAGAGGGAAGAGGAGAAAAAAAAAGAAATACCAGCAGGGGTTCGGCCATGTCGCGCCGACTTCTGCTCTTCGTGTACCCGACGCTACGTGACGTGACTACGCTACTGGGAATTAACGATGCCTTCGCTTAGCGCTGCGACGATAAATTCACCGGCGCGAATTTCCGTCTGGGTGTCCCTTTATCGTTGTCGCAGCCAGGTATGTATCGAATCGAAGCGTCCGCTCGAAGTCTGAACGACAGTAAGGTTCCTTAGAGAGAAGAGACACGCGAAGCGTCCATTTTTGGGAGATTAATCAATCTTAATTGATAACAAAAATTGATGATAAAAACGAGATTGTTTGTAAAATACAGATATGACAAACTGAATAAATAATTTTTGGTAGCGATAAGGCTGAAGATGTTTAAAATAAACGTCTTTAATGAACGCGACGAGAAGACTGTAAAATTAGCTCTATAGAATTAGATTTTATAAAATTCCTCAATCCTTCTGAAAATTATTTTGCATTTTTCCGCAACAACCAGGCTCGCTTACAGGTCGTTTCTCGTAGAGCCGGCCAACGGAAGTAGCGTCTGTGCGGCGAGACGGATGCCCGAAAGAAAGTTCTCGAAGTCAATTCCGTAATAGTCGGCGTAGCATTGAATTCAATTGAATAATGGTCGGCCGGACCGGTGGGAAGGGAGACGGGGAGCGAAAGGCAGCCGCCCCGATCATTATCCATCATTCGGCTGATTATCGTGATATTCGCGCAGCGTTCTCGCCTTTATCACCGCGTTACTCAATGCATCGTCGACGCCGAGAGTGCCGAGGGAGTGACATGGGCGAGAAATAAGTTTCGAGATTAACGTTCGCGAGGAGGATCATCCCTTGGATGCTGCGCGACCTGCTCTTTCTTTCCTTTCTCCTTCTTTTCTTATTTTCTTTTTTTTTTTGCAATATTCGTGCCTCTTCTGTGGGTGAATGATCGTGTTTGGCTCGCTCGGTGGACGAAAAATGGCCATCAGTGTTCGCCTAAATCGCGCCATTATCCCATCGGCGATCTCATCGCCGTCGTTGCAAAATGGCCCGGTAAAATTTACGGCCTTCTTCTTATAAGAATTCATGATTGAAGAAATAATATTAACGGCAAGCTACTTTACTCGTATCGCGCCGAAGATAAGTCACGGCGCCGTAGTGTCATTTCATCTGGCGGGACGACGAATGTACAATATGCAATGTTTTC